TGATGTTTCCGCTGGGCTTTCTTTACGTGTGTCCCAAACTATCGCCACTTTCTTAGTCCTATTTATACTTCTATATCCTTTTGTCCTGTCCTTCCCCACAGCTCTTCATTTCTTATTCTGCCCTGCCACTAAATTCTTAGAGTACTCCTCATACATCTGTTGATGAAAGTCTGGACTTTATTCAGTACTGTCTTTGTTGTCTTCCAAGTGTCGCAACCATAGAGGAGCACAGACTTGACGTTGGAGTTAAAAAGTAGATTCTTGGTGCACAGTGAGATGTTGCTTGCTTTCCAGACTTTTGATAATTGACTGCCTCACCCATAGCCACTCACCTATTAATTAATTAGTTCAGTATATCGCCATCGAAAGTTTTGACATTCCATCACTTTGGCATTTAATTTCACTCGTTCTTTCTGTTTTTGAACATTATAAATCTAAGTAATTATTTATTCCAATTGCCAATGCTTTTGTGTTGTTTTATAAATACACCTCTAAAACTCGGCCTGCAAGAGGCCATAGAATGAGCCAGTAGCCTACCGTACGTTTCTAATGTAAACAATGTGGTCAACTAATGGATGTTAAGACTTTCAACCCGCCTTTCTCTGTTCGTGCCCCCCCCCCTCTCCCTCCCACTCAAATTGCGCATTTAATTTCACCATGATTTAGGATCTAGAATAGATGTTCGAAATTTAAGTGCAGACTACTCAAAAGAATCCCTGCTATTAATGGGGTGGTTTCTAAAAGTCAGTAATGGCCTGACAACGACATAGGCTTACATAATATTCCAAACTCTTACAGCAGGTTGCCTCACATTTCTTGACACTGATCTTATCCACGTTACTTTAGCTGTGTTGATTGTTATCTACTTTTCCAATTAAGGACAGTTTAAACTGGTTAACTAAAAAAGAACAAAAAGGAGGGGTAGAAAGATATAAAAGGGAGGGTTGAAATCACTTCACGGGGCTTGAAATTTTTATACCACTTATGGAACGCTGTATGTCTTTCTGCATCTTCTGGTGCATGACACACTTGTATTATCTTTGAACGGGGTTTTTGCCTTGCTTATTGCGTAACATCTGAAAAGTCATTTACCAATGTATGAAACTTTATACATTTTAATTGTGCCTATTTTGGGATTGAAAGATGAAACTGAAACTGAGAAGATACGCACAAGTCACTACTGGAAATCGTTTTAAGTATGAAGTGAGCCTTCTGAAAGACCCAGTAAAGAAGAATGAGTTCAAGTTGGAACTGAATAACAGATTTCAAGCCCTTCAAGATCTGGATGAATGTGAAGTCAACGTACACTGGGACAAGATAAAAGAGGCAGCAAATGCAACTTGCCAGAGCACCCTAGGACCCAAAGACAAAACCAGGAATGAATGGATTTCACAGGACTCTCTAGACAATGTCAAAAGAAGAAGAGAGCTGAAGGCCCAAGTCAGCAACAGCCGTACCCGAACTGAGAAACTCGCTGCACAACAAGAGTACACCGAAGTAAACCGGG